GTCCAACTGCTGGTTCGGGAGTCAATCCTGTATTTGGATTTGGTGTTAAGCATTGGAAGGTAGTTGGGGCTTATATTAGCGGGTATCAGTGGATAGTTCCATTCGGGCATGGTCATTTAGTTTTAGGTCGGAGTTGAATCGTCCCAGGTTTGGTATTGGAATGGTCCTATCTAACGGAGGTCTGACATAGAGTAGAGTTTAGTTTTCATGCAGAGTGGCAGGTTAGTCTTTTAATGCTTGAGGATAGAGTATCAAGGTCCAATCTTCAGATGGGTATTGATAGCTGTATCGGTGGTTGGTCTACAGTGGGAGGAGACCCCTTCGTTTCTTTGGGTTCGATCAGAGTCGACTGGTTTGTTGGGCATAAGTGATGAGCAACTGATATGTTCAACGACTTGATTCCATCAATCGCAATGAGATATTCAGGGTTGGAAGTGTTTTGTGGGTCTGATATTTGATGAGGGGTTGTTATGGTGATGTTCAGCATGGGTGGTCCGTTGGGGAGACAAACAAATATATATTGTAGGTTTCGGAGAGGTGGGAGTGGTCCTGCATCGACAAAGGGTTCGTCCTTCTTCAAGTTTGAAGTTCCTTATTGGTTTCAATTGTCTTGGGGAGATCGTTGTATTCGGTTACACTTCTAGGGTTGTTTGGTTTATTCTACGTGTTGATAAGGAGCGTTTTCGAGGGCGAAAAATATAATTTAAGCGGGAGAGAATTGTAACATCCTGTTACGGATTATTTTGTGGTTTAAGGCTCATGAGTCGTAATCAGGGTATGAGATGGTTTTGAGGCTTTAAGGGAGAAATTCTAGGCTAACTTTAGATATGGATAAGGTAGCTTGTGTGATAAAAGAGTTCGGGTTGTGCTTCAGAGTCCAAGAGTATCGAAGAAGGCATTAGATTGATTTTTATGAAATTGGGTTTTGTTTGGGTTGTTTTGAAGCTATGATGAGTTGCTTGAATCGTAGGGCTTCTCGCCACCTTTCCGTGGATATAAGGTTCATTGGAAACAGACTTATAATGAAGAAGATATGACAGTTTGAAGTTTTGGTAAGATTAGTCCTTATTGAGAAATGGGTGGCAATTGGGTACGTTGGGCGTACACTTGAGTATGAGCATCGTACTTATGCGCTTTGCATGATCGTGAACACCACCTAGTATGTTGGGCGTACTAGGCCCAGAAAGAAAACCCTAAAATCTTGGAGTATCCCTATTTAAGGAACATGATGGCCTCATTTCCAGCCATCATTTCCCGTATCTAAGCCTTCTCAAACCCTAATACCGTTTCTCTAGATTGTGTGAGGGTTTGTGGCTTATTTGTGTGTCCTTATGGAGCTTGTGGTGAAGAAGGAGTCTTGAAGGAAGGAAAGCTTGTGCTTCTAGCTTGTGGATCTGAGTTCTAATCTAGTTGGTGCATCCTCCAAAGGTATAAATTCGAAACTTGCTCATTGTTGTGATAGTTTTGGTTTTGGGTCCGTTTCTAGGGTTTTATGTCCCAAGCGTGAAGATTTATGAGTTTGATGAACTACAGAGCATAATACATGTCCTTTCATGAATATTTGGTGGTCTAGATTCACAAAAATGAGATCTTGGTCGTCTAGACCTCCCCATGCATGTGTTAAGATGAGTATATAGAGTCTTAATGGTTATTTTTGGACGTTAGGTCCCATTAAGACATGCAAACTCATAAAGTCACCAACTTTATCAGTTAGGAGCTTGTAATGAAGCCTCTCTGAGGTTTGGATTTTTTTGGCTGAAGTGGTTAAGTCGCAAATGGAGTTTTTGGGTCTGAGTATTACGCCCCAAGTAAATCCCAATACGCCCCGCGTATTGGTCTAGTTGCCTCGATCAGGATTTGCGTGTACGTTGAGCGTACCAGGGGAGGTATGCCCCGCGTAGTCCTGTTGTGGGATTGTAGCGTTTGAGCATCGTATCCTTGGGCCGTTTGTTTTACTTACTGTTGGACCTCTGGGCCATCTTGGGGTATTGTTGGACTAAGAGAAGCATTTGGCTTAGGACAAGACCCATATGGGGGTTGGACCCAATTTGGAAAGTTGGGCCATTAGTGGGCCTATGTGAACCTTTCCGGTCTTGGGCCATGGTGGGCCTAATGAGTTGGGTCAGTAGTTGGCCTAGTTAGTTGGGTCACCCTTGGGGTTAGTGATAAGGTGTATTCTTTCACAGTTTTTGATTATGGCATTGGGTTGTTTTGGACAGTTCAGGAACCAATGCGCAGCGGCAGCGGTAGTGTAGGATTTTGCATGTTGTCATTGAGGCGAGTCTTCTCACTATACTTACCTGAGTGGTAATTACTTTGCGACCGGAGGCTCTTAATTTTATTGAACGAAGGGTCTTATTTGCTTATACTGAGATATGTGATATTACGCATTCTGTCTTTGTGAATTATGCTATTATATTACTTTGTGTGTATGTGTGTGTGCGTGTGTGTATATATATATATATATATATATATATATATATATATATATATATATATATATATATATATATATATATATATATATATATATATATCAAGATTTATGACCGGAGGGTTCATACCGAGCCGTGAGACCGGAGGGTCTTCACTGAGACACATGAACGGAGGATCCTAATCGAGATATAGCCACAAGAGGTTATTTATTTGTGTGTGTGGTATTTTGGGGAACTCACTAAACCTCGTGCTTACAATATTTTTGTAAAATGTGTTTCAGGTACATCGCATGATCGCGGGAAGACGGATGTATGATTGTACACATCTGTCGGCTTATGGAGATTTGAGGATTTTGTGATACTCTGATATTGTTCTGATAATGACTTACAATATATGTAATGACTTGAATCTATGAGTAATATTTTGAAAATTAGAAATGAAAAGTTTGTTTTGAATTTTGAGGCGTTACACATAAAATCAAATCAAATGATAGATACGATCAAAATGTTATAAAGAAGTTTTCATGTTTATCAATTAATAGCAAATTAAGATGCATACTTCAATTTAAAAACAAATAAAATTAAATCATACTTCTCTAATTAAAAGGTAGGCCTTTTTTTGATAAGCCTCTTACAGGTTAAGTAAGAGGTCAGCTCGAACTCAGTCCAAGTCCAAGTCCAAGTGAGAGTTTTTGATGCTATGAATTAAGCCTCTTATTCTGTCTATTCATATCTTATTGGGTCATATCCAAGAACCCACATAGGCCTCACCGTCCTCCTCTATTTTCACAAACTACAAAGGCCCACTATCGTTGCCATAGCAAGCAGGCTGTCAACCATCCTCAGTTATTGCTTTCCACCTTCACGAACGTCCTTAGCCACATATGGTTACTTCTCCTCCATCTGACCTATATACGGTCATTGTCTCCATCACACAACCCTCTCAGACTTTCATAACTCCAACAATTAACGCTTGTAATTGTTTTTGATTGCCTCGAATCGACTCTTTTTAATCATGATTGCGTCTACTATAGTTTGTTTGTTCATCTACAATTGCCTACAGTTGGTGCCTTTTTTTTTCTCTGACTAGCCATGTTCCTTTTTCCCACCCATTATTTAATTATGGATATCAAGAGAAAATGAATAAAATGGAAGTATCGGTTATAGCTCAAATTTTCATATTTTAACTGGAATTCTAACTAGGTTACCTAAAAGGCAGTTTTCTTATCTTTTACCTTTATAGATTAGAGTTTATTCATTACACTTCAACCTTTGTCATGGGATGCTGTAACTTTCAAACTGGTCCTTACCTCAATTTCTTATATATTTAAATGCTTCCTTTTGTGTTTATAGGGTAGTGATTACATATTTATATGACGCACTTCCAATTACGATTTTTAGTAAAATTGTTTTGTATCTTGAATTTGGTTATTATCTAATGAAATTGCAAAATATGCTTTTGTGAACTCTTTTAAGTGTATTAGCACCCTATGTTTGCATCGAAAGTAGCACCTGCTAGAATATCAACTTCTTTCGATATAATATGGGAATACTTTGGTTGGAATGGTGGCAATTGGATCCTGATGGTGGAATGGTGGAAATTGGATCTTTTCTTTCATCTCTACAATTATTGTTGTTCATAAACTTTATAATTACTTATCTTTGATTTGGATTTTGTATGATATTTTGTGTATTTTGTATAAGTAGTCATCAATTTTATTTAGATACTTTATTAAACAAATATATTTTATTTAGTACAAAATAGAACAAAGAGTAAAACAGATATTTTCTCTGGTCAACACAGTTAGTTAAATGCGTAATCAAACAACATGTTTTAATCAGATGCAATTGCAGTAAGGACTTCAAACTCAATCAGGTCCCGACTCAGTCAAAACTAACACAATGAACAATTATCAAATAGTCCATTACCTAAAAAAATAATTAACCGAGTATGTTTTTTTATTCAATTATTAATGGAAGATGAAAATCGATTTTATTAATGTTTTTTGAATGCTAGAAAATTCTATATAAAAAGAAAAACCTAGCAAGAAGCTTGGAAAAAACACATTACAAGAGAAGGGTAACAAAAGCAAGTTTATGTAGCCAATCACTCAAACCAAGCTTAGATTTTCTACAACTATTGAAAATCCAAAAAAATGCCCTATTAACAACCTCATCAAAAATCATGGATTTCCTATGAGTGACCGCTCCAAAAACTATGGAGTTTTTAAAATTCCATAAGCACCATAAAAAAAAAAAAAAAAAAAAAAAAAACTGCTTTAAAAGCTTTTCGTTGCCGACTCCTGAGGAGGACAGAATCATGCCATAAAAAAGATTAGCAATGGTGAAATGATCAGGAGGATGAATGTCCCACCATATAGCAATATCGTTCCATATATCAATCAACTCCCTGCATGCATCCTACAAAAATGTGATCGATTTTATTAATTTTCCTATCAAAACAAAAAAATCAATGTTTTTGTATCATTTGATTCACATGATTTCATTTATAACTTTGTTGATTTACTTTTTTAATTATATTTGTACAAAGATAAATATACAAAAATGCGAGTGACACCTATCGTAACGGCACATCCGGCCACGACGACCACCACGATGCCCCAAAGGGAACCGACCACACAATCACAGCCAACAACTCACCAGCAACCATCCATGCGACATGCAGGGACTAGCACCTGGTGCCTAAGCACCATCACATCCACTATACAACTAACGCCTGCTGGTCACTTGTCTTCCCCAATGGCCACCATGTCATGCATCCCGCTATTCGCACAACAACTAGCATTTAACCCATACTCTTACTACTACCAAGGCATGTGCCCCCAACACAGCCACAAAAAAAAACAAAAGTCAAGGCACACCGGTGCAGGGTACACACTCACACACCATGGGACCAACGGAGTCGAGCTTACAGTCAAATCAGTTGGTGCATATCCCACACAGGCAGTTTATGTGCCACAAACGTCGGGGTACAAGCACGAATGTGATTACGAATATGGCCAAGGGTACGCTAGGCCCTCTCACATGCAGCACACAGTGGCCAGTGGAGTACTTGGATATCCACACATGTATGACTCAGTACCAAGCATTAACTCGGCATTTTTCTAGGACCTCCCTCAATACGAAATACCAAATTCCGTCTTCAGCCCAAATATCCCAAAATACAACGACATAACAAATCTCGATGAACACATAGACACATCGCTCCGGATGGAAAAGAGGTTCACCTGCACCTACATCCCGATCACACTGTCCAGAGACGCCAGTAAGTGGTTCTAGGTGTTACGACCGGGAAGCATCTCCAGCTTCAAACAACTGAGGCATCTATTCCTCCACAATTTTATGTAGTTGAGAAAAGTCAAAGGAGATGCCAACTCGATCATGGCATGCAAGCAAAAGGAGGGAGATTACATCCGAGCATATTATGACTGGTTCACCTTAGCAACTTTAAGCGTCCCAGGACATGAAGAAATCTTAGTCACAGGTGCCTTCGCCTAATGGCTATTCCCAGGCCCCCTGTCAAGAAAAATGCAAGGCACAGTACCAAAATCTAGAGATGAGATTAAATACAGGGTCGAGAAATACCTCCGACAGGTTGAAGGAGAAGAACGCAAACAAGCAAATTTAAAGCACGTAGCAAACGCCTACCTCAAACAAGAATCAACCGACTCCTACTCCCGCCACAAACATAAAGAGCGCAAGGATTGCAACCACAACAAACATAGCAGACATTCAAGACATTTCTCTTGTAGATTCCGCCCATTCATCAAAGATGATTCGAGGAGCCAAAGGTTGGAACTACATGCCGTAGAAAAAACCCCACAGCGGACGGAGACGGAAAAAAGCAAATACTGTGAATATCACAAAAGCAAAACACATGACAATGGAGAATTTGTGACACTCAAAAGAGAAGTAGTGGACAAGCAATTGAAAGGAGGCCTGATAGAAATAGCAAGGACCCTACGATCAAAGTTTGAAGTTGACCAAAAAAGATGGGAGAACCCTCAAGGAAGCAGGAAAAAAACCAATCAAAGAGTTGAAAAAAGAGGATATTTTCACAATAACGAGACCCAAGGATCGGGACATGTACAAACATCTGGCCAAAGGCGATGTGATCCCTCCTGGAGACACTCTAAACATCAGTTTCTCTCCATCAGATGCGCGAATGGCTGGCTGGGACCCAATAGATCCAATCATAATCTTCGCTACCATCACACAATAGAAGACCTGGAGAGCCTTAGTCGATAGAGGTAGCAAAATCGATATCCTTTATGAACACCATTTCAAGCAATCCTTCCATGTTGGTGAAGGAACCTAAAACCCCCAACCCAGGCACCACTCGTTGTCTTCACAGGACACAAGTTGTGGTCACTCGGCACCATAAACCTACCATTGACTATAGTCAGTGTCGATAGGAAGGAACAAGTAACCAGGATAATCGAGTTCCCGGTAGTCAAGAAAAGATCTGATAACGGTATAATCCTTGGGTGTCCGAATCTCTTTCAATTATAGTCTATCCCATCGACAATACATGGCACGATCACGTTTAGAACAACCAAAGGTTTAGAAACGGTCACAACCATTAACACATGAGCAAGGCCATTATGGGAAATCACAGCATGGGCCACCGTGCACATTCCAAAAAAAAGTCGGACCATGATTGTAGCACCTGGTTCCCAGTACGTATTTCTTGTAATTAATAATTCTAAATTCATGCATTTTTTCCTTGGAATCGGCGAGTTGAAGGACCGACTCGCCGAGTAGGAGCAGGATAAGACGCAAGGTCTGAGCCTTGGACTCGGCGAGTAGGCCCTGTTTGGGCAAAAACCCTAACCCGAGTGTTGGCACCCTATTTAAGCACACTAACTCGGCCTCCCTTGTCCCTAACACTTCCACAGAGTTTTAGTGAGAGACCCTAGCCCCCAGATTGTTCTTGTGAGTGATTTTGCTTGGTGAAAGAAGTTTGGATCTTAGAAGAAGAAGGAGGAGGTTGAAAAGTGCAAGGAAGGGAGTAGATCCGAAATCTACACTGTGAGAAGCTTCCATTCAGGTAGAAAAGTTCCTACCTTGATCACTAGGTCATTAGATACGATTTTGTCCCAAATTGGTGGTTTTCAAGCCCTAAAACACCAAACTCCATATGTTGTGCTTAATGATCCGAAAGGACTTCAGACCTAGACCTTGTGGATGTATTAGAAGCCTAAGTTTCTGTGGTTAAAGTGATTGAGGTCCCCATTGAGTTTATGACCTCATAAAGAGCTTGGATTTGCATTTTTAAGCTTGTAGGGCCATGCATGCACGTAAAGTTTGGAACTTTACGTGATAAGCATGCCCTAGGAACATAGATCTATGGTTTTGAAGCGTTGCATGTCTCAGATTTGGATGAACAACTCGGCGAGTCCTATGAAGATTGCCTGGTACTCGGCGAGTTGTTCTTCAAACTCGGCGAGTCAGATGAATAATTACTGAGTAAGCGGGATTTAGGTGTTGAAGGTCAAACCCTTCGTATCTGCACGCCGAATTAGCAATCTACGTGTAGCAATAGTCCCAGAAACCCAAATCCTCATAAATGATGCTCTGGTGAGGATTTGGAAGCGAGTAGGAGATCTGCTCGTATGGACTCAATGAGTTGTTCTTGGACTCGGCGAGTCGGATCGCGAGCCGGTTCTATCGTTCCAAGTAGTGAGTTAAGGGTGACTCAGTGAGTGGGAAAAGCGACTTGTAGAGTGGGATCGGGTTAGTGGGAGAGAGACTCGGCGAGTTGGTGCCATGACTCGGCAAGTCCAGTCAACTAGAAGTTGACTTTGACCAAGGAGATGACCTTGGACCAGGGGTGGTTCAGTCATCTGAACTAAGGGTGTGTATGAGTGGCTAATCTATGCTTATGATTTATAGCCGGAGGATTTCCGATTCAGCAGTCAGGCGCTTAGCAAGCAAACTTTCAGCAGTTACTTTTCGAGGTGAGTTACCTTCCAGTAGTAGTGAGTCTAAGACCACAATGTCGACCCACTAGTAGGAGTTGTATGATTAGATTATTGTCTCTGTGATATTCATCTAGGGCTGCTACTACCTGTGTTATGTTTATGTGCTAGTCTGATATGAGGCTATGTGCTAGTGATAGTAGGGGAGATAGTCCCCAGAATACCAGTCGATAGGACCGAAGGGGTAGATATGCCCAACCATGCTAGATAGATTATGTGATACATGTTATATGGTAGTGGTAGGGGTGAAATAGTCCCCAATATCTGATCGAGAGGACCGAAGGGGAGATCAGCACCCAGGTATGCTAGTCAGTATCCTGTCGAGAGGACCAAAGGGGAGACCAACACCCAGATATGCTAGTCAGTATCCGGTTGAGAGGACCGAAGGGGTAGGTTGGGCACCGAGATATGCCTGACAATATATGTATGTTATGTGGTTATTTGGTATGTTGTACGGTGGGGGAACTCACTAATCTTTGTGCTTACGATTTTCAGTTGTTGTTTCAGGTGCCTCTTCAGAGAAGGGGAAGGAGCTGGCGTAGTAGAGACATATCACACACACGCTCTTTGTTTACCGTACTACGAGATATTCTGGGATTTGCACTCTGACATTATGGTTGTTTTTATGTTTTGGTTTCGGACACGAAATATGTTTTATGAGATGATATGATCAGATGATGTTTTACTATAAATATTTTACAAACCACTTATTTTAAATGAAATTTTTGGGCGTGAAAATTGGGTCGTTACAATGATACTCCCATCCAAAACGGTCAAAAACGAGAGGCAAGACACCCATACCCCCGATAAGAAGAATGATCACAATCCTCGTGCATGTAGCCCGGGAGGTGTGGTAGCAACAACATTACCGCGCTAGATATAACAAGAATTTATAGCATTAACACCAAGAAGGGTTGGATACTAATAAGCACACGCATGCGCCTTCGCGAAGTGAAAACACAAAGTCTGAAGAAGAAACCTGACAACAAACAAAACCAAAAGACCGCAAAGGCCCCGGGGGGGGGGGGGGGACAAGGAACCACCCTGCAAAAGAAGATACAGACAGGAGGCTACCAGCAACAACAAGAGCCCGCCATTGGCAGAAGCTTTCCCCAGGACGACACCTGGTCCAAAACCCCGTGAAAAACAGAATCAATAACAACAATGCAACACAAGATGAAATGAAACCTCCCAAAGATACTAACCAAACAACTAGCACCAGAGAATGAAAGAGATTGAAAATCGTATTCCGAAGGAAAATTTTCCCAGAAACAACTAGTCACGTGAATGCAAACATCAACAAACTTGTAAGCACGGGAAATGCACAAAGCAAGAAGGAACAAGAAGAAGAAGAAGAAGACGTCCCGATGACCTGGGAGACCCAGGGCCCAAGCTAATGGTCCTAGCTTGTAAGGAATCAGGAGAAGGGTATATGCGATCAAACTCCCACAAGATAATCACACCCCAACTAGCTAGTACAATACCTAGAAGTAGAATAACATCAACTATCGAACCCCCGATACCTATCTAAATGATGTAGGTGTCTTCAAGACATCAAACAAAATATACGTGAAATGAAAATTTAGAAAGGAAAAGTATCAATATACTTTTGTACAAATGACAAACAAAAACGGGTTGATCACCTGTGCCGCATAACATTAAAATCATGGAGGAAAACATAGTTATAAGCTTCAAGGGCTCATAATTTCCCCTTAACAAACATGTCAACAAGGTCAGTAGATCCGCAACTCCTGACGATGAAAAACAAGAGGCTTTAAAGGATCATAACCTTTCCCTCGAAACATATAAACTCCCAGAATTTGAGGTGACGGTCTCAGTCTGGTTCAGATAACAAGGGCGAGAGTGCAACTCTCCTTGGACCAGGGTATAGAAAAAGACCCTAAAACAAATTCCTTTAGCTAAAAAAGGGATGTTCCAAAGAAGCAGGCTAGCTAGGGCCCGCACCTAAAAGCCAGCCAAAGCCTCACCCTACGAGGCCGGGCCAAAGGACAAACAATAGACTCAGATGCTATGGATCACCAAATCTCGTCAACACAAATCAGAACCACCCCAAAAGGGCAACACTACCCTATAGGAAGAATTCAAGCCAAAGATGCCCAACATAAACATCAAACACAAGGATAGCATAAAACGATATTCTAACAGACCAAAAGAAGGGGAATTTAAAATACACAAGATAAATTGTCTACCCAGACAACCCCCGAGAGTTGTGCAAAGACCACGTAGGGCCAAAGAAAAGCAGTGAAACATTGTTTAAATACCAAACAAAGATAAACATTGTTTTGAAGTATCAAAAGAGGAAATAAAAGCCATCACTTACCAGGGGTAGCACCAACATGAGAAGAGCCAACTTTGACCTGACTATCCTCGATGTTAGAGTCATCACACAACTACCGAAGGCCTGCCATGTTAAGCTCGCCTAGTCAGATCCATAAATGCTTTCATAGCGATGTGTATCGCTTGAATATGGCTGTGGTAGCAACTGCCTCCCTAGGG